GAAAAGTTCCAGCTTCCCTGTGGTAGACGCACATCACAGTGCTCAGTATGCTTCAACTTCCTGCACGTGAAGACTGGCCTCGGCCCAAAGCCATCCTAAGACCTTTGGTTTTCTGTCTACATGCTCTACCTGGGGGGATTTTATAGCTCCCCCTATGGCTTTGATATCCTCCTTGGTGCAAGTAAGTTTCACATCTTCATCTGCAGCCCTCTCATCTCCCTGGAGTTTCTGACCAGTGTTTCCAGTTGCTCCTGAATATCTTGAAAGTTTCTTAAATTCAGCAAGTCCTACAATAAACTCCCCAGGCCTCTCTCCAGATTAGTCTCTCCAGCCCCCTCCACCGTCTTTATGCCGCCCCCTAAATTGGTCAATAGTTCCACCATCTATCTGCACCTTTCCTACACTAACAAACAAACCCCCTCGGAGGCATCTCCTTGGTTCCGATCTCCACCATGCCAGGCCCTAGTACTTTTAGATTCTGCCTCAAACTGCCTCGTCTCCCTTTGCCATCGTCACTATTCTCCCTTATTCAACCTACCCTCATACCTAACCTGCACCTGCCATGACCACTTAACTGCCCTCCCTCCCTACAGGCTGTGCTCACAAGAGAGTCAACTATCTTCCAAAATAACAAACCAGAGAGCTGAGTGTTGTGGCAGGCACTTGTACTCCCAGCTACTTGTGAAGCTGAGGCAAGAGGATCGCTTGAGCCCAGGAGTTTGAGGTTGCTGTGAGCTATGACACCACAGCCCTCTAGCCTGGGACAATAGAGTGAGACTCTGTCTCAAAAAACCAAACACACTAGAGCAAGGTAGCACCCCTGCTTTACACCCGCCATGGCACCGCCCCACAGGACACAAACCAAACCTGTCAGCCTGTTGTTCAGGTGCTTCTCTGGCCCCAACATTCCCATGTGCAGTCACACCTCCAGCCACCATGCACCTTCAGACTTTCGTCCTCTCACTCTATCGTCTTTCTCAGAAAACCCTGCGGGTACGTACAGTAATAGCAGCTCCCAGGAAGCCTGTGCAACTCACTGAATGCCACCCCCTCCCTCCTCTGTAGCTACAATGCACCTGACACATGTCTCTTGTGACTTTTGGTTGATGTGCACGTCATGCCACCTCCTCAACCAGAAAGAAGACATAAAAGGCAGGGACAGAACTGTCTTTACCTTTGTATCACCTGCACCCAGCTCAGGGTTCAGCAACTCAGACGCCTGAGTGGTTGTTAACTAATTGACTAAATCAAAAACACCAGGCTGAAGCCCAGAAGAATTGGTAAACTGCATAAAATAAATATGAAATGTGAAAAGAAAAAGGACTGGGGATGTGGGCACATAAGGAATAGGAAGACAGGATGCCAAAAAGGGGAGACACTAAATTTCCTTATATGGAAGGGAAGGAAAGTTCCTGCTTCTCCTTTGATGACAGTAAATAAATATAGAAACAAACGTCATTTTTAACACTAAGGGAATTCAAAACATGTATAGTTTACCTTTAAAATTTGTTTAAAAGCTAAAAGGAAGCAAAGAATATTCTGTCAAACAGAAGCCATAATGGAAAAGAGACAACAAATATAAAAGTTAGGAAACAATATACAGAAAACGTAAACAGCAATAATAGCAACCATAAATTAAAGAGTATAAATTCCATATACAATAGATTCTTCAAAGATAAGTTGAACATAGATGAAATTCAACAATATTCAGTTTGCTCTGACATAACAATAATGAAATCCAAAAATGTAACAAAATCATCCATAAAAAAGCTATAGATTATGAGAAAGGAATAGAGGAGAAGTATTGCTTTAAGTGTTATCAAAAAATAAAATAAAACGAGACAACTAATAATCTTGAGGAACAAACAAAAGAATTTAGAGGAGCTATTTTTAAAAAGAAAGAAATTAGATATTTTGAAAGTAAAAATTAAAATACTTTGAAAAGATTTATAAGAAACTAAAAGGAATTGCTGCTTCTGAGAGAGGAACTGTTTACCCAAGGAACAAAAGTGGACAGGAAACTGACTTTTCACTCCATCCTTTTGTCTTTTTTAAAGCTTTAAATTTCAACCACAAGTTTTGTGACTAGACTAAAAGTGATACTACTGTTAAATCTAATTATTTAAAAAAAGGGAAATCCAGGCTTGACTCCTGTAGCTCAGCAGCTAGGGCACCAATCACATACACCAGAGCTGGCAAGTTCGAATCCAGCCTGGGCCTGGCAGACAACAATGACAACTATAACCAAAAAATAACTGGGCGTTCTGGTGGGCGCCTGTAATTCCAGCTACCTTGGGAGGCTGAGGCAAAAGAATCACTTGAGCCCAAGAGTTTGAGTTGCTGTGAGCTATGATACGACAGCACTCTACTCAGGGCAACAGCTTGAGACTCTGTCTCAAAAAAAGAACAAAAAAGGAAATCCATAAAATTGGAAAAATAGGGCACAAAAAGAAGAAATAAAATTTTAAGAGAATATTATGTGTTAATAAATTTAGATAAAATGAACTAGATGGATTATAATTAAAATGTAAAATTCTAACATTGCCAAATATAAAATACCTAAATAGACCAATATCTTTTAAAAAATCAAATAACTACAACCCCCCAAAGCAGCTAGTCTCTGATGGCTTATTAGTGAATCCTTTAAAACTCTCCACAAACAAATAATACATAAGCTATAGAAATTATCGGATTTACTCTATTACGCTAACCCCCAAAGTGGCTAAAGGAAATGCAAAGCAGGAAAACCACAGACAAAGCTCGAAATTCATGCTCAAAATTTTAAAACAGTAAAAAGACTCTAGGGATAGATTAAATTTCTTAATTGTGTCATATCAACAGATACCTAAAATTTGTTAAAATCTAATACCTATTCTTAATTTAAAAATTCTAACAGTAAAGGGATACTTTCTTACCCTGTATATAAAAACAAGCATCAACTTTATACTTCAAGGGAAAAAGTAAGCTATGCAATCATTAAAACAAGCACGAAATGAGGAAGCATTTTATCATCATTGTTAATATAGTATCAGAAGTGTCTTCCAACAGAAAGCAACAACAAAAAAAAAGAGGGGTACAAATTCAGTAAAGGCAGAGACAAAACATTTTTATATACAACACCTTTATATACTTATAAAACCCAAAGGACTCACTTAAATGATTATGGTGACTTTAAAGTGACCAACATCATTATCAATATAGAGAAATCAATAGTATCCCTAGTCCTCAAACTTGAACACACATAAATATTAAAGGGCAGATTTTGGGGGGGGGGGGGACACTCTCACTTTGTCACCCTTGGTAGAGTGCTCTGGCATCATAGCTCACAGCAACCTTAAACTCTTGGGCTCAAGAGATCCTCCTCAGCCTCCTAAGTAGCTGGGATGACAGGCGCCCCCCACAGTGCCCTACTATTTTTCAGTGATGGGGTCTCACTCTTGCTCAGGCTGGTCTTGAAATCCTGAGCTCAAGTGATCCACCCACCGCGGCCTCCCAGAGTGCTAGGATTACAGGCGTCAGCCACCATGCTGGCCCCCTCAGGCAGCTTTTTAAATGTTGATGTCTATGCCTCACCCCAGACAAACTGCCTCAGCCATTATTATTTTAAAAAGCTTCTTAGGTCATTTTAATATCCACTACTATATACCTGTCTAAATATCTAAAAAATGTAATGCAAAAAATATAACCATTCACAGTACTTGCAAATGGGAAAAGAAAGACTCCTGTAAGAAACAGAAGTTCAAAGGAAAACTCTGAGAGGAGACACAGTTAGTTCCTGTGCAAATGTCTCCAGTCCACTGCACTTTAGGTAAAGAGGCAGGCAGTCAGTACCGCGAGGCCAAGATGGGAGAATACCTGAGGTCAGGAGTTCAAGACCAATCTGAGCATGAGTGAGACTATGTCTCTACAAAAAATAGAAAGATTAGGTGTGGTAGCAGGCACACCTGTAGTTCCAGCTACTGAGGAGGTGAAGGCAGGAGGATCCCTTGAGCAGGCGTGTGAGGTTACAATGAGCTATAATTGTGCCACTGCCCTCTAGTCTGGGTGTCAGAGCAGGACCCTGTCTCTAAAAAAATAAATAAATAAAGCCAATAAACAGCTGTACTCAACTTTAAGACTCAGTTAAAGAATGATCAAGCTGGAATATATCCAAGAACAGCCCTGCTGTAATCTACTACTAAAGCTCAAGAAAGACTCCCATCACAAGGCAGAAAGTCCCAGAAGTGACAACTCCGGGGAAATTCCTATGGGCTGGTGGTCCCCAGGCTTGTGAAGGCGTGGGGTTGCCATGGAGTTGTCTAAGGATGCTGTAGTAAAGCACTGCTGGCATCATATGTCATCGATGCCTCCATTTCCCATCCTCTTCACAGAAATTTCTATGCTGAATATTGGAGAAAGGTTCTTAAATTTATAATGGAACATAATGTAAAAGACTTGCTTTATTTAGAAAGCTCACTAGGGCACATCTACTTCATCAAACGGGGGCTGTGTCTATTCAAATTGATGGCCTACTAGTTTGCTTTGTCATCTGCATTTACAGCATTAAAAAAGGTTTCCTAGTCCAGAGGTCCCAGAGATGTGCAGCCCGATGATGTGGCTTGCGTAACTGTTGAACGATTTTTCTAGTTTTTCAAATCAGTTGTTTATTAAAGCACAAATGTTAAGTTTTCTGCTCAGATGAAAAGCTAAGACTTTGTCTAAACCTGTATATCAAGAGACACAACACACTACTTTTATGACACCAAATGGTCAACCTAAGTTATAACAGATTCCTATCAAACGATCTAAGAAGTCACCTAAGTTGTTAATTCATATAGATTTTGATTAATCAAAAAAGGAATCATTTGATCAAAGAGTTCAGCAATAAAAACCAATGGATAAAATAAATAAGGTTTAAAAGCAATACAAAGCCTAATATGGCTATAAAAACTTAAGCATTACAAAGTTATGGTCACTGATAGAGCAAGAAACGTGTTAAAATTTAGAAGCATGCTACTTACCTGGGAAACATGTTTTTTCCTTACTTCATTGTTTTCTACAGTTTCCCTCTTCATTCTATGCAGCCCCACAAGCATCTTAAAGGGGTTACTTGTTGCTTCTGCAGTTACAGTTCAGTCCTATAAAAAAAAGCAGCACATCATCACTTCATGAGAAAAGAAAACGTATGTTAGGGAACTGAGTTGTCCAATCTCAATCTCCTTCCTAATTCATTTTCACCAGAACTATGTATAAACAGAAAAACCAAAGGGGTGAGATGAGTAAAAAGAGGTCATCAAAATACAAATCAGCAATTTAAAACTATTTAAAAATGCTAGAAGAAACTAGAACATATAAAGGTAAATAAAGCAAACTCAATTGTCTCTGTTAACAGGTGAGAACTAGATGATTCATTAAAATCTATGATTTTAACACGCGTTCCGTTACAAGTTTCTATCCTTCAATCCTAGCTAAGTTTGAGATGGCTTGGCAGAAATATTATTAACTGATGTGTGACCTTACAATTTCAAAGATGCACACCCTCAAGGATGTCCAATGGTCTTTTTCCTTTCTTTAAGCAAAACTTTATTTTTGTTTTTTGTTTTGTTTTGCTTTTTGTTTCTGAGACAGAATCTCATGCTGTCACCATGGGTAGAGTGCCATGGCATCATAGCTCACAGTAATCTCAAACTCTTGGGGTTGAGCACTCCTCTGGCCTCAGTCATCTGCCACTACGACTGGCTAGTTTTCTAATCTCAGGAGAAACAGGTCTCACTCTTACTCAGGTTGGTCTCAAACTCCTGAGCTCAAGCAATTCACCTGTCTTGGCCTCCCAGAGTACTTAGGATTACAGGTGTGAGCCACAGTACCCAGCAAGGATATACTATTTCTGATGCTCTACCATTCAAAGCCCTGGAGTTTTCCTGGTATAGATTCTAGTGGTGCAAAAATGATTTAGACTGTGAGTCCCAGGCCAAGGGGCTATGTTTTTTTCGTCTTTGTCTCTGACTGTTAACCCTATTTTGTCCCATTCTGTCCAGTGACAATGCTGGGCACACAGTAACTATTAGAAAATGAATGAGACAGTAACTATGTTTTCAACAAACCACAAGAGATGCTTCATGCAATGTTAAAACTACTTGGGAAACAGTTCTTTATTTTTTCCCCTAAAGAATTATGTTTTGTTGAGATGCCCATTAGTGGTAAAATGGTCCCAGAGGAGGGTACCAGAAGGTCCGAGAACTTCCAAGAGTCATTCAGGGATCAATACACTTAGAGAAGGTCGTGACTATGAGCACCCATGAACGTAATCAGGTTTGCTCCTCAAAGAAAGAATCCCTCTTCAAAGGAGCTTCTAGTTATCTTAACGCCAGCATTCTCAAGTCTTTAACATACACATATCTAGTGTTTACACTGTGTTAGACCTGCTTTAAGACAGAGGTTCTCAACCTGTGGGGCGCGACCCCTTTTTTTTTTTTTTTTTTTTTTGAGACGGAGCCTCAAGCTATCCCCCTGGGTAGAGTGCCATGGCATCACGCTCATGGCAACCTCCAACTCCTGGGCTCAAGCGAGTCTCCTGCCTCCACCTCCCAAGTAGCTGGGACCATAGGCGCCCGCCACAACGCCTGGCTATTTTTTGGTTGCAGCCGTCATTGTTGTTTGGCGGGTCCGGGCTGGGGATTCGAACCCGCCACCTCAGGTGTACGTGGCTGGCGCCTTAGCGGGTTGAGCCACAGGCGCCGAGCCGCGACCCCTTTTTAACAATAAAAATGCACTGCGGCATTAGGACGGTGGAGAACCACTGCTCTTAGAGCTTCAGGTACATTAAGTAATGCGATCCTTATAAAGAACCCCTGAGGTTGATTCTATTACTCTAATCGCCAAAATGGAGACTAGTTAAGTAAACTACACAAGGACACACACTGTGCTGCTTTTCACGTGGAGGCCCCAGGCAAATATAATTGTGCAGTAAGCTATAATCTCATCCATTACTTCACTTCCTTCTACTGCTGTCCTGATATGTCTAGTTAAGGTAGCTCAATGTCTAGTTAAATTATCTCTTGGTAAAAATTTTTCCTAATAATTTATTAAGAAAACTTAATTTAAAAAATAACCTTTTCTTAGTTAAAAAAAAAAATCACCCTGTGAACATCACGCAAAAGAAATCCCCCTAATGTTGTGGAATTCAGAAGTAATAATTATTTTAAGCTGAACACTTGTATTTGCCCACCACTTCAGCTTATTATATTCCAGATATCTTACTAGGCTTACCAGATCCCCTCTAACTTTAAAATTGCAGAACCTTTGCTCAAGCAAGACATGGGTTGAGTTGATTGGGACATGACAATAACAATGTCAAAAGCTGTGGGTTCGATCCACTGTAGACCAGTTAGTTGTCTGCTTCATGTCTACAGTTTCTAGCCTGAACGGCATATATGGGGTTATAAGGGGGAACCGGCAGGAGTATGCAAGACGACTAGCAAAAAATACCTGCTGGAAAAGCAAGTCCCCATAAAACACGGCACTAACTGGGTCAGAAGAATCAGTCTCATTCACAAGGAAAACTACCCTGACCATGGCAAAGCCCTGCTGCCTTTCTGAGGAAGAGGCTCTTCTCATGCTCAGGTATTTTGCCAGAACACAATCTAAAGCTCCTCCTTCAACAAATAAAACAGACAGGAAATGAAAATAAATTAATTATTTTAGGTTTTATATGGGCTCTGCTTAATTGATTGGAAAACAGAATTTTCTTATTCCTGACACCAATTCCACGGACAATAAAAAGCATTTGCAATGGTTTTTAGAAAATATCACAAAAATCTCTAGCAGTACAGCAAAAAAAAAAAAAAAACCAGAAAAATCTAACTGCAATTCCATAAGTACTTCTTAGATTCTTTAAAAATTACTTTAAATTTTCATAAAATGAAAAATTACTCAACCTTCAAATAATATTATTTTAAACATGCTTTTCAAATTAAATAAAGAAAACAATCAATATTAGATCAAACTGCATTTTGAAACAACCCAGGGCCCATTCATGTATAGAAGTTTTACCAGTTTCAACAAATAAAAATGACAAAATGAAGTTATATTCCTTAATTGTTATTCTACGGAGAAACCCACTTAGGATCGTCTGTCTTCAGGTTTTCCTGCCCACAGCTGAAAAGAACTTCCCAATGTGCTAATGCTACAAAGCACATGGGTTCCAACAGTCACAAGGTAACTATGACAGCAAAGCCACAATTATCTGTGAGATCACAGAAACTGTATGATGTAATTTTTTAAATTGAGGTAAAATTCGCGTCCAACAATATTAACCATTTTTAAATGTACTCTCCAGTGATATTTAGTACACTCACAAAGCTGTACAACCACTAGGTCTACCTACTTCCAAAATACTTCCATCAGCCCCAAATGAACCTTGTGTTCACTAGGCAGCCACCCTTTTCTTCCTCCTGCAGCCCCTCACAACCACTAACGTGCTCACGTTTCTCGGGATTAACTTCTTCTGGATATTTCATATGCATGCAATACAGAATGTGTGCTCTTTCATGGACGCCTGCTTTCGCTGAGCATGGTGCTTCAAAGCCCATCTACACCGCGGTGTATATCAGTACTTTATTCCTGTTTGTGGCTGAAAAATAAGTCTCTGCATAGCTATCTCACATTTTCTTCATCCTTTCATCCCATGGTCCCCCCTTCCGGCTACTGTGAATAGTGATGCTATGAACACTAGTGTGCAAGTGTTTGTTTCAAAACCTGTTTTTAATTACTGTGGGTATATATCCAGGAGTGGAAATGCTGAGTCATGTGGTAATTAAATACTGAACCTTTTGAGAAACTACCAAACTGCTTCCCACAGTGGCTTCACCATTTTATATTCCTGTCAACAAAGTACAAGGTTCCAACTTCTCTGTATCCTCACCAATGCTTGTAATTTTCTGTTGTTCTTGCTTTGTTTTGATTTTAAATTACAGCCATCATAGTGGGTATGAAATAGTATCTCACTGTGGCTTTGATTTTGCACTTCCTTAATGAGCAATGATGCTGAAAATCTCTTCACATGCTTGTTGGCCATTTGTGTATCTTCTTTAGAGAAATATCTATTCGAGTCCTTTGCCCATATTTTTTTTTGGCTGGGGATGGGTTTGAACCCACCACCTCTGGCATATGGGGCCGGTACCCTACTCTTTTGAGCCACAGGGGCCGCCCCTTTGCCCATATTTTAATTGAGTTGTCTTTTTGTTGTTAGTTTTTAATGTATCAGGGAGATGACATCCTTATCAGATTTGCAAATATTTTCTCCTATTCTGTAGGTTATTTTTCCACTAACTTGGTGGTGTTCTGTGATGCAAAATTTTAAACTTTGAGGTAGTCCAATTAATCTCTGCAGTACCTAGTAAAAGAGCTGATACACATGAACCTTATATGTTTGCTGATAAAAGTAAATTGTTTAATGAACTTTACAGAATGTTATCAGGAACTCTCATTTAGTTCAAATCTTCCAAAATTGATTATGAAACATTACTTTTTTTTTTTTTTTGAGACAAAGTCTCACTTTGTCACCATTGGTAGAGTGCTGTCGCGTCATAGCTGACAGCAACCTCAAACTCTTGGGCTCAAGCAATTCTCTTGCCTCAGTCTCTGAGTAGCTGGAACTACAGGTACCTGCCACAACACCAGGCTATTTTTAGAGACGGGGTCTCGCTCTGGCTCAGGCTGGTCTCTTTAGTTTCATTATAGATGACAAACTACATGGAACTGGATTCTTTATCCCAGGATTGGTTGCTGGTTGTTTATTTCAACACCAGATGGCATTTTCTCATTGAAGTTATTTATAGGCAATTTGATTCTTAAAATCCTTTCTGATACTGCTGGATTACCTCCGACCATGAGTCTCACACAGCTCATACAGTGAGAGGAAGTACAAACCGAAGCTTCGAAAAGTCTGCGCCCGGTACCAGAACTGAAGCCATCTCTGCTTTTAAGACTTATAATCCGCAGTTCTCAAATGACTCCTGGTTTGGGGGAGCATACGATTTCCTTGAAATTGTTAGTTTTAGAAAACTACAGTTATTTTTTCTGGGTTATTGTGTCATCTTCAGTTCTAATTTAGATGTGTGAACATATTGTGTCCAAC